TTGTGAAAATGACATTCTCTAAAATAATATTATTGGTTTATGTAGCATGTACTCTATAGAGTGATAGATTCCATTATACACTTAACTATGTTAATACAATAATTATATCTGCATGGATTTTATCATTTTATGCTTGGAAATCTCTTGTACACTTCTATCTGGTGGCAGGTAAGAAATAAAATAATGAAGTCTACGCAAAAAGAATTACTTTCGTTAGTATTATTTCAGTGTAATCCATCAAATTAACACCGCAGAGCATAATTTGGTAAAGAAAGACTCACAACAGGAACAGTACAGTGGCACTTGCCACTGTTGAAAAAAAAAACAACAAAATATCATTCTAACAGTAAATTTTGTCAAAATGTCATGTAGCATATTTCGCTACACTGTGTAGCGAAATATGTGTGCAAATAACTCGTTACATGGTTTAACGAAATATGCCGCGTCAGAATGCACAGAACCAAAAATGTCACGTGTCAAACAGAGAGAATTTCGCTACATTATGTAGCGAAATTCTCCCTGTTTGACATGTGGCATTTTTAGTTCTGATGTGACATATTTCGCTACTCCGTGTAGCGAAATATTTGCACACATATTTCGCTATACAGTGTAACGAAATATACCACGTGATATTTTGACAAAAATTTACTATTAATGTGACATTTTGGAGTTTTTTTTTGGCCAACAGTGACACTTTGAAACACTGTCCCCTCACAACAGCAGTTCATGTGTTGGCATCCACCGGACGAAAATTTGAGGCGCAGAAGTTGTCAGAGAGACTCAGTTATAATGGTGTAGCTCGACACTTTTTTAATTCATGAATGTTTTTGGGAGGTTAAAAGTATTTGAAGTCAGTTATAACCGGAGAGTAAAAAAAGTATTTTTTATTTTTTTAAATGAGCAATAAGATGAAGAGTAAACATCTTTTTTGGTCTCTGAAAATATCTACGAAATCTTTTTTAGTACCTGACAATAAAAAAGGACCAAATTGGTCCTTAACAGTATGTAAAAAGGGCCACGTTAGTGACGGAGGAGTTGACATAAGGACTAACGTGACCCTTTTTTCATAATTTTAGGGACCAATTTGGTCCTTTTTTATTGCTAGGGACTAAAAAAGATTTCGTAGATATTGCCAGGGACCAAAAAAGGTGTTTACTCTAAGATGAATATAGACATGATTATATTTATATTATTTTATAATTCATAAATGAGTACTTGAAAATAATATTTTTTTAAAGTGAACATAAAATGAGAAATTCACTTTATAATAATATAAAGTAATTAATATTGAATAAATATATACATGAATGAGAAAAATATCCATATAAAATAGAAACTTTTAATAATTTAAGACAGCACCGTACGTCAGGCGAAAAGTCTGCTGTCAAGAAAAAAAAAATTGATAGAAGAGTTTTTTGTTGTCTTTATATTTTGTCGGGCGATAAATTATGGAAAAATTGAAAAAACCTGTAAACATATCATTAAGTAGAATAATAGACCAAAAAAATAAAAAATAAAATCTTTTTACATAAACTTAACACGTCCGTTAATATTATATCGTAAAACAACAAAAATAAAAGGTGAAGATCCTACGCAGTTTCATAAAAATCGTAGAGCATGGTGTCATGATAATTGATAGTCATATATATACAAATTTCATAAAAAGTTTATAGTAAACTCTTTACTTTGATCTTTTAAAAATCAGCGTACCGTTCTATCCCATCATAGGTGCCATATATAGGCTTGTTTTGATGGATTTTTTTTTCTTATCAAAAAGTTGTTGTTTTTTTAAGAAAAAAAAAAGAAACACTTCTCAAAGTGACTTCTTTGAACGATAAACTTGATAATAAAATCCTTAAAAATCAACGCAGTAAAGCACTAATTTTTAAAAGACCAAGACCAAAAGGGAACTTACTCAAAAAAAATTCATAATTTTTTTTCCCTTTTGTTTCTCTCCCTCTTACTATTCTCTACATCAATGAACTATTTTGTTTTTGAAAAAAAAAAAAAAATTGTATGTACAGGAATAATTTCCCACAATTCTATGGCACAAAGATGAAAATGAAAATGAATTATTGTTACAGAAACATGTGCCTTCGTGGGGTAGTATTAGCACTGTATGCTATATTGCGGACAAATCATATCACACAATAATGATTATGAATTTATGATCAGCTGGGATAGAATATACGTCGAGGTAGAGCACCCATGTGCTCTTATGTGGTGTCCCAAAAGTCAAGCCACGTCGCAAGCGAGGACAAAATAGCTATCGATGAATTAATTGCTCGTGAATACATTAAAGTCGACATTAGAATCATAGAAGCAGAATGCCTTGACATATCTCCAACTTATTATTACTGGATAATGTTATTTCCCTACAAAATATTACACCACTTTATATGTTTATTATATAATTAAATAAAAATAATATTTCAACATGTTTTTTTTACTTTTTATGAAGCTTTTCGTTTTAATAGGTTAATTCTTTTATTATTTTTTTAGAAATAAACTCTTCTCATAAGCTTAGAATAAACACCAAAAAATGAGCTACTTTGTGCTGAGATGTCGATGATCTCCGCGACCCTCATGAACTATCTACACGGACTTCAGTCATATTAAATCAAATCCAAGGAATACTTATCTTAAAATATTTTATGGAACAATCATTCCGCGTCAGGGTTAAATATGAAATGGTAATGGTTCTCGCTAATGGTTGAAAACGTAAGAAAAATACACAATGAAAAGAAACTCTGAGAATTAAGGATTATCGGGAAAAGAAGATTTTCGGGAGATATTTTGACAGGGGAAATATTTTTTTTTACGGAGAAAAAAAGATTTCTAAAACTATAGCGGGGAGTTTTTTTTTCCTGATAAGTTACGAAAAGGTGTTTGGTAGGTATAATTTTTTTGGGGGAATGTTGGTTAATTATACTAATTCCGTGGGAAAATAAAAATAAAATGTATCAGATGATATTTTCGTTTAATATTCTGTAGTTAATACTAAAATAATGGAAAAAAATATTTCCTAAGAATATTTTCAGTTTTCTCATATCAAACGTTGGAAAATAATTTGCCTCACCCCATTTTTTCATGATTTCTAAAACAATCATCATACCAAACGAGAGTCTTTGTAGGAGGTGAAAAAAAGTTTCCTAAGAAAATGGGATAGAAAAATTATTTACCTATATTTAGTAGAAGGTGAAATAAAAATATGGCTGAGAAATTTCTTTTCCCATTATTTGTTTTTATATGTAAAATAGTTGGAGAAGATTACTATTGAAGGAGTGAAATTATTTTTTTCTAATGTGGTGAAAAAAGTTAACACACAATATCATTAAAATTAACTCAACATTTTCAGAAAAATTTTGGCCCATCAAACATCTTTTAATAATTTATCCAAAAATAAATTCCACCATATTCTCATAAATTACTTTTTCTTGATAAAAAAAAAATTTCCTTTATCAAACATCTCTTAAAATAAAAAATAAAAAAGAACCCAAGAATTACTTTACTAGAAGAAGCAAAGGGACCACGTGACTTTAGACCGTACTGCAAAGTGGTAATGGTCCTGATGCAAACGAAAGCAATTGCACCCTCAAATAAAAAGGAGCAAGTAAAATAAGAAGACAAAGATCGTCACCACGAGAATTTCATTTCGGCATCGTACTAATTTGTCGCGAGTGGCTACTCTGTTGTGATGTCGTTAACTAGGAATAAAAATGGGGAATAAAAATGGGTTAGGGTCGAGCCTTTATCCCAAAAAACTTAAGCATATATCAAAAAAATTTAATGACATGACGCAATAACATAGCATGAGTCTAATTATTAGTCTTTCAAATAAAACACGAATCAATTTCATAAAATATTTAAATTTTGTTCTTAAAACAAAAATCATAATTTTAACATTCAAACAAAACCATGAATCATAATAACAATTTATCATAATCTGCATTTAAGTTATTTTTAGAAGGAAGATTTTCAAACTAAATAACATATATTTTATCAGATCTAACAAATCAATTCATACTATATAAATTAAAATAATTGAATGAATCAAACAAATGCATCATGATACTTGTAATAGCCAAAAACTTCTCATCGTCTTCTTTCCTTCACAAATACAATTCCAAAGTTACCTAAGTTGTTTAACAATTTGTAATATAGAAAAGAAAAAAAAATTAAGGAATATAAAGAAAAAATAAAAATAAAAATTAAAAATCTTTTCATATCTTTTATTTTTTCTTCAAGCCATACTTATTACGTAGTCAATTTCTACCATATATTAAAGCTTGAATGGTATCTTTAGCCAAGCTAGAATGATATGTATCAATAACTCTTCCTCTAGCACTAAATATTGATTCTGATGGTACTGTAAAAATTAGTACAGATCATATGTCACTTACAAAAATAATATTGGTAGGGAATCAAACTTAGGTCCTTTTATCACTATTCAGCTCACATGTATCAATTAAACTATCACTACTTGATATTAGTACTACTATAAATAATATTATTTAATTTAATTTAAAATAAACAATATAATATAAGCCATAAACTTGAAAGTTAAAATAAAGTTTATGACGTACTGTCTAAATAAATTATTTAAAAAATTTAAATTTATTTTATTTGATTATATATAATAGGTGGAATAAGATATTACCTCTATTCTCAATAGATTAAAATTTTAAAAAGACGAGCGGGTAACAAATGAAGATATTCGGAGTTAGGTCAGTAAAGTGACGCACCATTCATTAGTCGATAAAAAGAAAAATAACGGAGCGAGCGTGATTGACAACGGGGATGAGCTTATACGAACGGAACGCGGACTCCAATGCAAAAACAATAAGGTGGATTTAAGGAGTGTGTTGAGGTCCGTATGTTTTAAACTTAACATTGTTTCAATTTCCAATACGGTAAACCGCAAAGGTGGTCTTGTTTTGTTTCTTTTTCTTTCCGAGGAAGAGAGTGAAGTGTGAGACTAGAGAGAGAGGGGAAGAGCCATGGGTAAATCTACCTCATGCTTCAAACTAATCACATGCGGCGGTGATGCGGCGGAGAAGGATGATTACCAAGTATCTGAGGTGAGGTATCCCACTGATTCAGAGGTTAACTTGAGTTCAGAATACTCATACTATGTTTTTACAACATTTGATGTATGTGTGCATGTGTGGTCCGAGGTAATTTGTCTTGTTGTGGAAAATTAACGAACTTGCGCTTCTTCTGCTTCCTGCATTTGTGAATTAGTATGTTCATGTTGGATTTGGTTCTTGTTTTTCGGATTCATCTATTCCAGACTACATGTGAATGACCTATGGCTCTGTTTTTTTGGATAGCTTGAACTTTAGAATTGGAATGTAATGCAATTTTCCTCATCGTGTTTCAGTTTCAAAAGAAGTATACTGCATTCCCCCCCTCCCCCATTTTTCGTTCGCGTGATCCTTAATTTCATGAATAACAATGGATGTTGGGGAGCTGTTCACGCTCCCTATTGATATTGATAATTATCATGCTCACAAATGACCCCTAATCTGACTAATATGAATTGCTTTTTTGACTGTAAATTCATAAACATTAACTAATTTTTAAATCTGGGATCTTCGAACTTCCTTAGGATTATGATATTTGACGCTTGTTGAACAATGTTGGACCATGCTTTTACTTCATGTCTTGTGAATATAAAGTTGTAAATATATATCTGCTAGATTTTCAGATCTATGCTATTAGGTTGCACTGCTTTTTCATTGGATAAATTTTGCCCACGTGAACTCAAATAGTGGCACGTTGCACTATAGTAAATTTCATTAGATAAGTGAAAGATTCATCGAAATGCCTTTGCCTATCATATGATCGTCGAAAGAAACATAATTCATTTAGGAATTTTTTTTCTTTTTTCTTTTGGGGTTCATTTTATATCTGTCTCTAGTCTTCTGTAATGATATCTCTTGCGACATGTGGAAAAAAATCTCTGTAATTTCACATGGTAAAATTATTAAAAGCTGGAAATATTGTAAAAGCATGTTTGGTATGCAGAATTTACTTTTGCAAATTGGAAGAGTTAGTGTTTGGCTGCATTATGAATGAAATGGTTCTGCTAGGATTGAAACAGCATTCCATTTCATTCTTACATTTGAGACATAGAATCAGTGTAGAAATGAATTGGAGGAAAAAACAAAAATTATACTTATTCTAGCTTGCCTAGAATCATCAATCCCACCCTTCAATTAGGATTGTTGATTCTACTGTGAGAAATCAATACCTGGAATGTAACCATCATCAGTTTCAATCTCTTTTAGTACTAAACATAGGAATAATCATCTGTGCATAATGGAGCTAGGAATGAATTCATCCTTCTACTTCCTGTCTTCCTACGTTTGAGTCATGATGGAATACAGTAAATGCTCTTAAATTGTCTTGAATAGGATGTTTGCTTCAAACATGTTTATATTTCACGAATGGCTTCAAGTTTGTTTTTCACAGATGATTTTTTTTTTTCCTTTTAAATGTTATTCCAGATCAATGATTCCAATGATAAATGTGGCTGGAGTTTCCGCAAGAAATCTGCAAGGAACCGTGTGCTTAGCAATACTGTTATAGCAAAGGTTCCATCTTCTGCAAATAAGGAGACTTCAGAATGTACTAGTTTTAATTTTCAACCACTTCCCGAGCCTAATGTTGTCGAGAAGATTTACACAACAAATTGCTCTGATGCGAAGCCCCAGTTATCCTCCTTTGAAAGCTCACAAATTTCTGAAATACATGTCATTGAAACTGAGAGTAAGGTGGATGTCAGTCCACCAGAGTCTACTGTTATCATCATCCAGGCTGCCATCAGAGGGTTATTGGTATGTTTTCCTTTTGAGGTTTGCTGATCAGAACCTTGCTAGAAGGAACAACTGTAACATACTTTTTATGTATATCTTGTTCTCTTATTGTTTCTTTCAGGCTCAGAGAGAACTGCTACTGCTTCAGAATGTAGTGAAGTTGCAATCTGCTGTTCGTGGGCACTTGGTCCGGAGGCAAGCCATAGGAACTCTGCGTTGTGTTCAGGCCATCATGAAAATGCAGGTCCTTTTAAGAGCTCGCCGTGCTCAGCAGTTGCGTCCGGAAAATCATTTAAATTCCAAGGATGGCAAAAATGATTCCTCAGAAGCTTTGGTATTGTTGCTTAGAATTACTGATTACTAAATGCTTTGCTCACTGTGTAATAAGTTCAACGGTTCTTGCTTAATTGTTACTCTGTTGAATTTTCCTTTTTTTTTTTTTGGGGGTGGGTACTATCTTGATAATACCTCAGTAGATACTCAATATGTTTGTTGAACAGAACCGATAATTTTGCTTGAGGTCTGGAAGTATTAGTTTATTCCTCACTCTCAGATCCTTTTTCCTCCCTTCTTAACTAATACATTGAGCATTCGTTGCCACTACTTGAAACTAGGATCTCTGTTTTGTTGTTTAATAGTTGTTGTTTATTGACTCTTGCCTGAGATAAAAAAATTCATTGGGAAGAGCATTATAAGACGTGTATTGTGGCCAATTAATATACTGGAAACCCTTCTCTAAGTGTGGCCATTTATTTTTACCTTGGTTTAGGGGAATGAAAATCACATGATCAAATCAAATCTGAGGCACACTTCCATTGAGAAGCTGCTTAGCAATAGTTTTGCTCGTCAGGTATGGTAAATACGGTTTGCTTTTGTTGCCCATTTTGCATTTACATCATGTACCCTCTATTTTTCCCCCACTAAATTCCCTCCCCACTTTTTGGTACATTCAAGCTGTTGGAATCAACACCAAAGAACAAACTTATCCATTTCAAGTGCGATCCTTCTAAAGCTGATTCTGCTTGGAAATGGTTGGAGAGGTGGATGTCTGTATCATCTAAAGATATTGCAGAGGACAAGAAAACTAGTTCTCTGGCAGAGCAATCAGATGAAAGCAAAGACAGAACTTCTGTGTTTCAATTTGAAACAGGTATTCCATCTGAAGTTTTTCTCGAGTCAACTAACTCAAAGCCCACTGTTGGGGATTCGCCTCTGCTTTCTGAGGATGAAGAGAAGGTGATTACTTATGATGCTAATAACTTCAAGTTTCAAGCAAGCTGCTCCTCATCATCTATTGTAAAAGATGACTTGGATCAGGTTCCTCCTGAAAAGACAATTGCATATGATGCTAAAGTAGCATCAGCAGAAACTGATTCCTTCCAAAATGACAAAGCAGCATCAGATGCAAGTGCCCCACCAGAGCTTAATTCTTCTCATCAGAAGCCTGAAATTGATGGTGAGCAGCGCAAACGATCTTTGAAAAGATTTGCCTCAGACCAACTAGAGGCAGAAGGAAAGAAATCTGTAAATGGATCAAGAAAGGTCAGTAATCCTGCATTTATTGCTGCACAGTCCAAATTTGAAGAACTGAGTTCAATGGAGAATTCAGGTAGGACAAGCAGTTTGTCCCATCAAGATGCAGCAGTTGAATCACATGGAGATACCTCTTCTGTTGGCACAGGTACTGCATATAGATCAAAAGAGTTCTCCTGTGAGAATCCTGCTCCCAATCTTTCTAAGGTTGGTGGTTCTGAATGTGGTACTGAACTTTCTATTTCTTCTACTCTTGATTCACCTGACATATCAGAGGTTGGCGCAATGGAAAATGAGCGATATGCCAAAGATTTAGTAGAAGGGAATGGTAATCTTGAGAACACAATAATCCATAACGGTGAGGCCAATGTTCCATGTGCCATTCCAGCCTCTAACCTGTCTACCTCTGTTTTGGATCAGTCTGAGATTGTTGATGAGATCAGTGGAAATATGATTCACTCAGTGGTAGCTGTGGACTCTGAAGAACCTGTTATTGAGACTGAGAAAAATGCATCTGACCAACATAGAGAGCAGGCAGAGGCTGTTCTGCAAGATTTAAGATCATCTCCAGAAGCTTCTCCCAGAAGCCATATAACTATCCCTGAATCACAAGGAACACCTTCAAGTCAGGTATCTACAAAACCTAAAGACAGCAAAATGAACAAGACTGGATCCCGCAATAAACGTGGTGCCCTATCAGTGGGCAGTAAATCACCTGCTAATACAAATCACGATTCAGGCTCAAGAGGCAGTAGGGAGCAACTGCCTAAAGGTCAGCGGAGTGGGAAGAGGCGCAATTCATTTGGCTCAGTAAAGCCTGATCACATTGATCAAGAACCTAGAGATGATAGTAGTAACAATAATTCTCTTCCCCGTTTCATGCAAGCTACAGAATCTGCTAAGGCCAAGATCAATGCAAATAACTCTCCAAAATCAATTCCAGATGTGCATGAACGAGACATCCAAGTAAAGAAGAGACACTCCTTACCTGGTGCCACTGGTAGGCAGGTTTCTCCACGCATCCAACATTCAATTTCTCAGGCGCAGCAGAATGCTAAGGGAAACAGTGTACATTCTCCTCAAGGTAATTCTAAAGTATAAGGAATCTTCTTTGCGCTACGATTTGGAAGTCTTATGTGTGATGGAGTTTGATTAATTTTTTTTATTTTCTAACATTAACTCTCTTGTGAGCCACGGTCTGAAAGAAGTATCAGTTTTGCCTTTGACAATTTTTGCGTTCATTTTATAGTGTTTTCTATGAATTAAGTTCTTTTGTGTGTGTATTTGTAAGGGTTGTTGGTAGTAAAATTAGGACTAATTGACAAGTCCTTGTTTTGGTTGTCTATAGTCTGTCTGCATTGTTGTCATTGTTTGTCATGCCAGTAATGGAAACTGTTTTTTTATGGGGCTGGTTGAGCCGGGAAGGACACCATTGATCAAGCCAGTATGCTGCTCAACAATTCTGACAATATGTTTACAAATAACGTCTGGAATTCTGATGATATGTCATTGTATTTAGGGGGAAAAGACTATAATGTGAATGACCTTTTTTTTTGAACAGCTTGTTTTCGGGAAATTTCTTTGTTCTTAAAAATATCATCTTATGATCATCATACAAGGTAAAAAATAATGTTTGAAATACCAATTAATCGGGGTTCAAGTGGATGGCAAGGGAGGCATGAGTAGGCTGATCTTAAGCATAATTTCCATGTTAATGAAAAAATGTTGGAAACTTTCTCTGTACTGATTTTTTATGCGTAAGTTTTGGTCCTTTGAGCATTAATATTTTCGAACTTGCTGCTTAACTTTTTTCTTAGGTCAGCATCCTTGTCAATATATCAATGCTCCTCTACCATCAAGATATATATTTTTTTTTTGTGTGTGTATAGTTGCACTTTCCCTGTCTCTCCTCCTTGTTGTATAAAATTAGAATGGTGTGGGTTGTTGATTTTCAGCTTAAATCATTGGTGCACATACATGCATGTCCACACTTTCTAGAGGAAAACCTACACTTTGTAAATAGTAATGAGAAAAGAAAATAATGGTTCTGCTTTATGTGTTGTAGTACTTACCAGTTACCACTTGACCTTCTGCTTCTTTCAGAGAGAAAATGGGTGAGGTGAATTGACAGCTGAAGGATGCTGACATGCTTCTACAATATTTGATGATCAGCCGTGGAGTGGCAATTTAGAATTTCTGATTTCATTTTTTTATTTTTTTTTATTTCTTGACTCTTTGTATTCTTTGCCTCCCCTCTCTGCTTCTCCAAAGTTGAAGGTGCCACGTTTGGTTGTGACGTGTGACAGTAGAGTTCGTATGGGAACATACATAAATATGTAAAAGTGAGTGAGGCTTATGTACATTATTGCTCGTCATTATTATTATTAGTGTCATACCCAGTGGGGGCGCGATATGTAAGTTTCAGAGTTGCATATGAGATATCTTAATGTTTGTTATAGATATTTTGCTTGATTGAGAAAACTACAGATTTTTAAAAGTCATTGCCTCGATTTATTGTAATAAGCTGAAAATTTTTATTTTGACCTCAGCGCTATTTTGAAAAAATATAAAGGAAAAAATATTTGTCATTTTAATTGATATAAAGTTATGTTATTTTAAAAGAGAGATAGATACAAGAAAATATTTTTTATTTAAAATTTAAATTAAAAAAAAATCATCCATTTTTTTTTCTATGATTTTCATTTTTTGTGTCTATCTCTCTCTTAAAATGACATAATTTATGTCATTTAAAATGACAAATACTAAACTTTATTTTAAATTTTAATTTATTGTTAATGAAATTTTTTGTTATAACATAATAATTTGCTCATGGATTATTTAGACTCACTATAATTAAATTATAACAAGCTGGTGCTACGTCAAGAGCATAGTAGTTAAAGATATTGATTTATTGTTGCTATTTTATTTTTTTACGGTTTTTTTTATCAAAATATTGTTACCAATATTTTAAGGGTTTTTATGTTTTTAAGATTTTTTTATATTTTATGATTTTTTATCAACCTTAGGATTTTGTGTAAAATATCATTTTTAACTATCTTGCTCAATAAGGGTTAATATCTTGGTCAATAAGGGTTAAAATCAATATAAGAGTGGAGACCGGAGAGTGTGAAGTCAAGAGGCATAGCAGGGAATAATCGCTGTGGAAAGAGAAAATATTCCATTGCCAAGATCGTCACAAAGATTCTAGGCTAACTGATGTCTGTAGTTGGTCATAAAATGTGGTTGGTTATGTTTGAGCTTCTATGAAGTTGTTTGGTGGTGGTGGTAAGATATTGCTTTTGTGTTTTGGTGAAACTCTGACACTTAAAGTCAATATTAACCATAGATATAATATCTTATCTCACTATTGATGAGTGAGGTGAAGGCCTCTCTCATATGCAGTGACTATCAACTACTCCCGGAGAGATTTAGGATTTTTTTATTTTTTTTAGTTATTAGACCCACAAATTAGTGGCCCTAAGCTGGATAAATATCCAGAATAATAAGTAATATCAAAGAGATGATTATAGAAGAGATTCAATGATTATTACATAGATCTTAGATAAAACCAAGAGATGGTCAATGAGATAATCGTGGAAGAAAAAGTAAAGAGTATGATAATCCAATCAGATATTGAACCAACTGACATAACAGAAATATAACAACATTTGATCTAATGGTTAATGAGATATGCTACATGTGTTCACATTTCACAATATAGGGTTGAACCTTCATCCAACGTATTTCATTAATTCCTATAATTTTGATTAATGCATAAACTCAATTGAATTTGTATAATGAAAAATTATTTAATGATTGTCCTGATGTCATCTTCCAACAAAATATATTGTAATGCAAATTTCAAACTTATTATTATTTAACATTTAGTTAGTTGCGGAAATGTGCAATTCCGTGTGTAATTTATTACATCGTGTCATATAATATAGGAAAATTTTTATTTTCACCTCTTGTGATTTAATGGTGTATCACTTAATCCTTTGTGATTTTAAATTTATCATTCATACTCATTTGTGGTTAAATAAATTTACTATTTAATCTCCCGTGATCTCAAACATTCAATTACACCTATGGGGATAGCAAAAATATATCACTTAGACTCTAATGGTCTTATAAATAATTATTTTTTCTAACTTTTATTTTATATAATTATGATATGATCAAATAAACTTTTAATAAAATTAATTATTAATGATTAAAATTTAAAAAATATCTAAAGTTATTTATTTTGAAATTATTTTAAAAATCATCTTACAATTTTTTGAGTTATGTAAAAATATATATTTGCTTACCAAAAAATATATATATACATATTTAAAATTAAGAATATTATTCAAGATAAATTGAAGATGTATTAGTTAAATTTTTAAAAATATTATAACAATATCAAATAAAATAAAATAATATTTGACTAATTGTTTTCTTACCATAAAAATATAAGACCACAAGATTTAAATGTGTATCATCTTATGTGTCTGTATGCGCACGCGTGGGCGGGTGCACGTGCGTGCGTATATATGTAAAAAATACAAGGGGTCTAAGAGATATATTTTTATAAGCACAATGAATATATATGATATTTTAAAATCACAAGGAGTTAAATTGTATATTTTTGTAATCACAATAAATCTAAGTGATAAATTTAAAAGCACATAAGATCAAGTGATCAACTATGTAACCATGTGGGGTGAAAATAAAATTATCACTATAATATAATCATAGTCATGTGAGGCTCTAAATATATCCATTTTGCATAATTAATATCGTTATTTGTCAGAAACAATTAGAATCCTTATAAATTTAAATTTTTTAAATTTATTATCAATAATAATGGTATGATACCACGTCAAAATGAGTTTAGAATCCTTTTGTAATAATTACAATGTTTACGAGTAATTTTAACATTCAGCAATTATGCGATACCATATCAATTATTAACTTAAATATTATTAAATATTTGAAATTTTCCTGTAAAAGGGAAAGAAAATATTTTAATTACCAGATATTATGATTTACAATAAATTTAACAATTTTTTATTTATAAGGGTTATGAAAAATCATGTTAGATAAATAATTTTTGGCCGGACAAAAAAGAATCAAGATTTTTGACCGAGAAGAATCAGATTTTTTGATAAATTTAATGTGTTTTTTTTTTAAAAAATATATTAATGTTTGGTAAATTGAAACTATCGTGGAGGCCAAATTATTGTTATTCATACGGAAAATCTAAAAATTGACAACTTGCAAATTGGAATATCAAGCCAAAAGTATAGCCACTCACTATTTTTTTTCCTTCTAATTTATATGTATTATCAATAAATAAAATGGTTTATTTTTAAAAAGTTATTTTAGATAATTTTATCTAATGTTTATCAAAACGACGTCGTTTTGGGGTGAAAATCATGATATTTTTGTAATTTTAATTTATTTTAGGATTATAATAGTCTTTATCATTCTAATTTTTTAATTTTTCAACCTCAAAACGACGTCGTTTTGATAAACATTAGGTAAAGCTGTCTAAAGTAACATTAGATACTTTATTCTCTAAATAAAAATGTGTCACCACATTATAGAAAATATTTTCAAACTGTTTATAAAATAAAAAAATATTTTCAAACTTTTTTAAAGAAGCAACATTATAATATATAAATTAAAAAGAAAAAGTGAGTGGTGATAATTTGGGCTTGGTATTCCAATTTTGCAAGTTGTCAATTTTCAGAATTTCCATATGAATGGTGATAATTTCGGCTTGAGAGCTTTAAGATGAAAACAAAACCCTGTCAAAAGGACAACCAGGGAAAACATAGTGTAATTGGATTCTAAGCATGTGAACAGCGAAGAACTGAGATAGATAGGGGTGTGCGTGTGCGTGTGCGTGACGGTGTGGTGTGTGTAATTAAACTTATAAATAGGTGTCTGACTAGGGTTTACTCTCTCTTTCAGACACTCTTCAATCTTTTTTCTATACACACAACTTACTGAAGACGTTAATCGATTGATTTTCTAAATATGCGTGGATTACAAAAATCCAAAAGAGTTTCATGGGCTTCCGATTTAGATCTTTGTCAGGTAAAAATTATGTTTCTGTTCCGAAAACGAAATCGATCAATTCATTCATATGATCAACATCCAAATGAAAGTTTTTCTTCTGAACCCTAATCATTTTGTATTCTGTCTTCTATTAAGCCCTCTTTGCTATATCTGTCTGTAATTTTGAGGACCTTGTCTTGTTTGATACTCCGTCATCTTCTTGGGTCAATTTTTGTTGAATACCACCGATTACAATCTGATCAGTCCTTTTTTTTTTTTTTTGCCTTTGCCTTTGCCTTTGAATTGAGGTTATTACCTTCGAGAAAGTTCTTATTTCAAAACCCTTGTTAGTATTGGAGTGGATGCTCTCATGTCTAGTTTAAATTAAGCAGGACATGTGAAACGATCGGACAAATTATCGGTTATCCTTTCTTCATTCTATGTTCTTTCTCTCTCTTATCTCAGTCACTGATAAATTAAATGTGATGAGAGAAGATAAAGAGAAAGAACATTAGTACGAAGGATAGCTGCTAATTTGTTTATGAATAATTAAGATCATTTCACATCACCTGGTTATGTTAAATGATACATTGAGATGATCTATTCACGAGTTAGTCCAGTTGGAGTTTTAGTCTTGACAAGGGACGGAATGGCCTTAATTGATGTTATAAACTATCGGAGACTTCCTTACTTGTTTTGAAAATTCTAAAATATCAAACTGTTAACTGGCTCTAAATTAAGATGCTTATAAAATAGGCTTTGAATGATGGAAAAACACAAGAAGAAAAGTCAGGCGGTGGTCCAAAATATAAGTCCCTCTTTGACCATGGCTGCAGATTGCAATCTTGTAGCCTGCATTGATATGGATGTTTAGCAGTGTTTGTTCTAATGTCAGAATCGTACTTTTTCAAGATGTTGCTATTATCCTATGCATTCTAATTGTGCCTTTCTGCTTTCCACATGTTTTGGGTGGCTCCAGAAAAAGGAAAATTTTCCTTTGATGGACTAGATCTGAATTGTTTTCATTGTTTTAAATTTGAATGAATGTTCTAATTGTATGTGCTACTGATCTTGCAGATTATATTTCCAGTAATTATTGAAACTAATGTTAGCTTTAGTCTGAAAGCCTTTTGCATGCAGAAATGTGGATATTAGATTGCTTCTGTCACCCTTTAGTGGCTTATTTTCTGAATAGGTCTTAATGCTCATTCCAAACTTATCTCAAGTTTCCATTTGAGAAAGTTACTTTGAAATTTGTTAAGAGTCATATGTTAGTCTTTTGTGATTGGACATTAGTTAAAAAAGGGCCATCAGTAACTGTATTTGTTATTTCTTCAAATGTGTGCTTGTGGTTGTTAATGTTAGCAACCCCCTAATTAGGAAAATATATCTTAGAAGAAATTAGAAGCATGTGGCCTGTTAGTAGTTGGGACTATCCCAATTGACTTGTAAGTGAATTGTAAAATTTAGTTAGACAGTTAGTGATTTAGTCAGGACACTAACACTATATAAAGGAGGGAATTGATGGATTGAGGAGGCTCTTTTTTTTTTTAAGAGAAAGAACCAAAATGTTATTGAGAATGCTCCCTGTCCCTCTAAATCCCGAGAAAGAATTCTCTGGCCCTCTGCTCTAAACTGACTAAAAGATAGCCTCCTAAATCTGTCAATTCCCTGGCCTACATGCTTCTTATTATTCTAGCATATATTTTCCTATTTTGGAAGTTGCTAACAGTTAAGTAGTCTGCTTATGAGACTGTGTATATGGATTAATTGCTTCATCTGACTTTTGTTGTTCAAATAGTTGACTATGATTTTCTTATTTGCAATATTTTTTTTATTAAAAAATAACATTAATTTTGAAGTCATGCATTGCCCTGTCCAACTTCAGTTGCACTTTTCCCCTCTTTTTAAGAATTTTTGGAGCTGCTGTTCTTTTTTCTTAAAAAAGAAGAAGAAAAACACTAGTCTTCTTCATATCCCTAATGTCTGTAGTTTTCACTTCCTTTCCTTGTTCTGGTTGAATGAATTTTGTTGCTCATATGTCATACCAATATTAATGTGGTTGCATGTGTGTCCTTGGGTATGTGAAAGGTTAAAAAATAAGTTGACATTTTGTATTTCATTGCTATTACTAAGGGATGTTTTTTGGTCGAAGCTGAATCGGTAGAGTTCTGCAACTAAGAAGTCTTTGTTGTCTTTAACTCTAAAATTTTGTTCTTTTCTGTTTGAAAGGAGACTAATTTCAAGACCTCAGCCACTTCCAACATGGGAGGGCAAGTCATAGTTATATTTTCTGGAGATGTACCGCTAGTGCATGCAGAAGTATAGGAGGAACAGGTGGCAAAAATTCTTGGTTGACCAGCCTATTAACTCAGACATCACCTTTCAGAGTGTAATTGAATATAAGTTGTATGGGGTCTTTGAGGTATGACACTGGGATAAAGAGGTGGAGGTGGCAGGATCCGATCAGAGACATTTTGAAACAGCTTGCAGTTTGGATTTAAGAATCTGTTTTAGCTTCTCAACAAGGATCTTAACTTGGGGTTACACCAAGTTTCTGTGCAGAGTCATTGAAAGAAGACCAGACTCACTTGTGGGCAAATCTTTCATGATATGTCCAGTTTTAATGAGAGGAATCAATATCTTGTGTAGTAGCTGGTCAAGTTTGTAATCTTTGTTGTTATTAAATACTGTTCCTATCTAGGTAGGGGAGGTTCTGGATGTAGTTTTTCTGAGTCCTATACCAGGATGTGAAAATCTCAAAAAATATTGAGGAACAGAAGATATTGGTTCCTGGCCTTTTAGGTATCTATTAGATGAAACTTATGGATGGCAAATTTAGAACCTTTAAGTTCTTTAGAATGTCCCCTACAAATTTGATTGAGTAGGGGCTTTTGATATGGATACAATCACTCTGAATGCCTTTGTTTCTATGTTTGATCAGAATGTGCTAAATTATTTTGGCTAAGTCTTGTTGTGTTGTGTTCTAATGACAACAGTTCACATTCTTCTTGAATTTGTTAAGTATTGTATTGAATAATATTAATTTTTCTTTCAAATGTGACAAGTGAAAGTTATCATGATGGTACAGTCGAGGATGTGAATTCATTTTGTGCACCAGTATCATATTTTTATGAGTGGTATTTGTCTTTTCTCCATGTATTTGTGGTTTGTACACAATGAGCTTGTGTCATTTGACTATATATAGCCCCTTTAGGGACAAGATGATTTTCTCTATTCTGTGAATGCGTGTTATCTCCGTTCCGGTACTTGATGTTGTAATGAGTAGACAGAATCAATAATTAATCATTTTAAAAAATGCTGCTTAAATATTGGTTATGAATAAATGATAGAAGAGAGCTAACTGGGAAAAGACTAATGCTCTTTTGTTAAACAGGTTAAGTTATTCTTGTCAGAGGAATCTCCTTCACAAGTGGGGATAAATTCTCAAGATCACCTTCAAGCGAAGACATCATTGCTGTTGCATGCGGGCGGAGCAGGTTCTGATGACATTCTGCCTCCTGGCTTTGAGGGAACTCATGCTTCCAGTCAGTTCGAGATTACACTGTCCCAAATACCTGTTATTAAGTGGATTAATCCGCCAAAGGTAGTTTTGTTTCTTAATTCTATGCTAAACAGTTTAGTTAGTAGTTTTCACTATTATCAATATTTGAAAATGGCTGGAAGAAAGTAAGAGCAAAACGAAGGTAAAATGCATGAGTTTGGCTTCAATATAATGCTTAGTTTTATAATTCTCCCAGATTGTGCTAAATCTCACATGGCAAGTGGTGGCTGGGGAAGAAAGCAAAGAGGTGGAGGATCAACATAAGAGGGAGATGAGAGTTCTTGAAGCTATTTATCCTCGCGTATCTTCCATTCCTCCAAAGTATGAATCTTCTCTTGCCCTGTGCAATAAATTTTCATGTTTTGTGATCTAACGGGTATTTTTATTTTTTCTTGCATGTAGCCCCTCTGTTTCAATGGATGTTGAAGATTCCCATTTCATTGATGATCAAACCGCTTTGATACCAATTACGCCTATTGAAGATGAAGATGCGGCGGCAGATGCATTATCTGATTCCTTAGATGTTTCACAGTCTCGTGAATTAACCCCTGGCATATTGAAGGGTTCAAATTCTGCTACAAATATGCAGTTAGCTCGTGGTCTAGTATCAGATGTAGCTGCTGCATCTGTTGCTTTAACTAACATAGTGAAGAGCAATGAACATGGAAATTTGATTGACCATGAATTACTTAATAATATTCTCAACAATCCAGAAGTGATTGAGAAGTTGGTTAGAGATTATGGAGTTACTAACAATTCACAATATGTACATAATGTGGGGTCAATTTCGTCTTCGGTGGCTTTTTCACATCCTCCTATTCCTATTAATCAAGGTGAAACCACTACACCTTCATCAGTTGCTTTTTCAGCTACTTCTTCCTATACTCCCCCAACTGTAGGTCAGGTGGGACCTGTTTCTACCCAATGGCTTCCTAGGCCTGCAGTGAGTTCAGTTATTGTTTCTTCTCCCGTTGAGGTCCCTTCAACAAAGGATGCTAACTACTATAAGAGCTTAATTCAACAACATGGAGGAGATAAACAAGAAACACTTGCATACTCCAGTAATCATACGACCCAGCAGCCAATAACAAACTATGAAACAGCATACCATCGTAGAACAAAGGTGTCAAAACCAAAGATAATGAAGCCATGTATCTTCTTTAACAGTTCTAGAGGATGTCGGAATGGAGCTAATTGTGCATACCAGCATGATGCATCATTCCAGCCAAGAGGTGGTTCTGTGACAGGGTTACAAAATTCAAAGAGAATGAAAATGGATAATGAGATTAGCAGTTAATTGAACTTTCAATTGGCTGGTGGTGTTGGTTGCCATACATTTTGATGAGGCGGACTGAATGTCATACTTCTTGATATGGTCAAGTTAGCATTTTATAAGTGATTTGTGAGCCTAATTTACTACTAGTTTTTAATCTTACATTTATCATTTTTGAATGGAAGGCTCCACTTCATTTTCTTTCCTTGATTGAAATCTGCAAAAATTTCTGTTTTTCATGATCTATCTTCATTCATGATTGTATTTCAGAATGAGCCTTGATGTTACAACTAATTGCAGGTTCCATAAGCTTGATGATGTATTGATTTTCTTTTTATGTACTGTGACGATATACTTTGGATTTTTGTACATTTCAATATGTTTTGATGTTAATATTGGCAATAATGGAAAGAAAAACGTTCAATTTTTGCTCATTGCGGGTGCTAAAGTATTTGGATCCTTGAAATGATAGTCATTTTGAGGCAAGAAGTTACACCAATCAACAAATGTCACGAAAGCACAACTTATGCATTTTTATTAACCTTTGCTACATTTTCTTCTTCGATCTCTCTCTCTCCGACACACTACGGCACATAAAGAAAGCTCATTAACCAAATGATTATTGTTTTTAACACCTTGGCAGAGAAACACATTTCTCTGAAAATTTTGCTCTAGTTTCCATGGATTTAGTTTATCTTCTTTTTCTTTGCCAAACCCTCGCTTTGTCTTTTGGGTGAACCTGGCTCCGAGGGTCCTGGAAAAAATGTATGAACATGCCAATCTGGGATCTAGCGAATTTTTTATTTTTATATTAGTATTTTCTTGGACTAGTTCTTTTAACTTGCCGATTCCATTTTCTGTTTGTGGATCCTGTCTTTTAACTTGTCCTGTCTACAATGAAATGATAAGATAATTAAGTACTTTAATAGATGATAATTGAATTAAATATAATTATTATTTTTCTTATAATTGAGATTATTCATTGATTTTCTTACTCTCTCTTTTTTTCAAAATTTAATGATGAATATTTTGAAATATTGAGAATAATTCACCTCCTACATAATAAAATAGATTTCTCATGTTTTAGAGTGAGGTAACTCGGGAGAGACTATATTTAAAATATTTTTTCCTTACAATATTTTATAATTATTTTATTATCATTAAATCAAAATCAAATAAATAAGGGGTTTGCATTTGTCATTTAACATGACACAACAAACTTTCCTACACACACAACATTTTGTGGGGCCCACACTTTTTGAAGAAAAAAAAATTACGGCACGCAAAACGAATCTCTATAACGTTACAGAATCATTTTTCCTACAACATAACTCTTATAAAACCCAATAAATAACATCAAATAAAAATTATTGACTTGATTATAATCCAATAATAATGAGAAAAAAGAGATTATAAATACAACATCTCTCCTTAATGTATTCTCTTTTTTATATGGCATGTACTTTTAGTTAAATATCGCATCCCCCTTCTGCTCATCTGGCCGATGGTTACATGGGTTTGCTTGTAAACTTGGTGTCTGCTCAGCTTTCAAAGCCGAATTGTGGGAAATCCTTCGGGGTTTAGAGATTGCGTGGCGTGAAGGATTTCGTAATATTGAAGTTGAGAGTGATTCAAAGAGTGCTATCTCTGTGCTCACCAAGGATGGTGCAGCAGTCCGTGAGGGTCATCTGATTACTCGAATACGGACATGGTTATAAAAAAATTGGAGAATAAAGTTGAGCCATATTTATAGAGAGGGTAATACTTGTGCAGATTGGATGACTAACTATATTCTGAATGCTAAAGAGGGTGTTAATATTGTTTCTTGTGAGGCTCCTCCTACTGGTGTTTCTTGGCTGTATTTAGCGGATCTCTCTTCTGTGGGAAGAGATCGTGCTGTAGTTGTTGTTTAGTTTCTTGTTTGTTTTGGGCTTTAGCCCTTTTATTTACCAAAAAAAAAAATATATATATCGCATCCCCCTTTCTTTTTTTTATTTTCATTTATTATTTATTTTCTATTAACTCTTATTTTTATCTGTTTTCAAATCTTATTTTTTAAAGAAAATATTGGTAATTTAAAATAAAATTAGATATCACATAAGCACTGTTGAATAAACAATTACTATAATTTATATTAGTTACCTTAAATACATATTAATCTTTTAATAAAAAAAATCATGGGGAATAATAACTAGTTTTTGACAAAAATGAACCCAAACTTCCAAACGTCTGCCACTCTTAGGGAGCGTTTGGTACTAGAGAAGTTTTTTATTTCTGAAGACAAAAATCTCAGAATATGATGGATAATTTTTTTGCTTGGGTAAGTTATGAAAAGGTGTTTGGTAAGCAAAAAATTTGCCAGGAAAGTTGAGTAATTTTTACTAATGCTACGTTTGTTGCCAGGAAAGTTGAGTAATTTTTACTAATGCTACATTTGGTTGATGGTGAAATATGAATGGGGATGTGTTATGAAATTAAGAAATTACCCCAAAATGTTAAAATATTATAATCAATTTCGGTAATAAACGTACGTTTTAGCACTTAATTGTAGTTTTGAAATTTTGCTTCAGAAAATTTTGTTGAAACCCCCCTTCATCTCTCTGGCACAGGTTGCTGTTGAATATGCATTTGGGTGTATTTGGTTCTGCAAATGGGGTGTGTATCAACAGTAATGCAGCTGATATTGGCTGTCACAATGAAAGGAGTTGTAGTCTATGGTGGTTCTTTGTTTAACATGACATGTTACTATGGTGGTTCTTCTGGGACCCTACCCGTACAAAGCTATCAACAGGTATTATGGGGAAGAACAAACCACACGATGCAGACGATGCGGACGAAGACGAAGACAAGCTCTACTCCAAAGTAGATCTCATGATGTCGTGTTTAAGCCACACATTTTTAATCACTTCTGTCTTGTTCAGAGAAGTTGTACCCCACATATACTTTTTTTCAGGGCATTTTTGTCCATAAATCATAAAATGAGTTTCTCCGTTAGTTGGATAAAAAAAATACCACACTAGAAATCGCATAATTTTTGTCCATTGCCCCGTTGAGAACAAAATGCATGGGAGACATAATATACCGGTATTTTGATATTTGAGGAAATACCAAACATGGTTAAAATATTTTATCTATCTCACTTTCCCAACAATCTTATAAGATTCCTCGTACCAAACAGTCTTAGAGTGAACATTTGGTAGAGGAAAAAAAATTTTATTTATAGGAATCACAATTCTTGCAAAAATGTTAGAAAAGTGAATTTCTCATGAATATTACGAAAAAGTTATTTAACAGGCCAAAATATTCACAGGAATGTTGACTCAAGTTTTCGGATTCTATGTTTGTTTGATTGAGAATGTAGCTGATTTTACAAAAGGGAAACCTTAAAAAAAAAAACCCTATAACTTTCCTCATAATCATTTATCCTCTCCCCAAAATTTTGAATCATTTACCCCCCTTGACTTAAAGTTTTTTTATCACTTAACCCATATGATAAAGAAACTTTAAGTAAGGGATAAGTAATAAAAAATTTAATTAAAAGTGTAAATGATTCAAAAAAATTGTGAGGGATACGTGATAATTGAGAAAACTCATAGGTTTGTTTTGAAGTTTTCCCTTCACAAAATTAACATTTGATGAATATTTTAAAAAAAAAATCTGATATGCCACAAAGGCAAGAGAACTCACCGGAGCCAAGCGAACATGAAAGGGAAGCAGCGCGAAACAAAGATTGTGGCTGTTGATTCAACATCGTAATCAGATGATGGTGGAGTTGGGGTCATCGGAGTGAAACGACGCGAAGCAGAGAGGAAGCCAATAAAGGCATTGTGGAAGGGAAAAGAGGAACTCACAATTTTGTGAAGCAGGATATCATGGCAGGGCTTTAACAAGAACAAGAAAGTGTCCGGTAAAATATGTAAAAATTTTCCACCAAGTAGGAATACGATAATATCACTCACCCGATGATATTATTACATGAGTTTCTTATTATCAAACATCCGTAACTACGATTTCCAATATGAGTTTCTGGAATCTAAAATTTATCTCTATACCAAACGGCCCTAAAGATTGTTTATAGGGAAAAATATGTCTTCTATTATAAGAAATAAAGTTATTCCTATAACTCTAAAATAACATCATTTTGAGGTTTAGGATTAAAAATAAAAGTTTATTTTTTCTAAAGCTATTTTAAATAATTTTGTCTAATGTTTATCAAAATAATGTCATTTTGGTGTGAAAATCATTGCATATTTATAATTATAATTTATTTCAGATTTATAATAATTTTTATCATTCTAATTTTTTAATTTTTCAACTCAAAATAATGTTGTTTCAATGAATATTAAAAAAAATTATGTAAAATAGTATTAGATTTTTTTTATCAAAAAATAAAGGTTTATTATTTCTCTTGTGACAAAAAATAATGTTATGTCTTGGTCATTTTGTTGTTTTTGTTATCTAACGACGGAGATTATTTTCCCCAATTTTCAGAAAACGAAACCCTAAACCCATTATTCCGATAAACTTGTTCGCCGTCTGATTTCTTCATCATCTTGATTAAGCTTTCTGGGTTTATCCGTCTGGGTTTCTCCGATTACACAAAATTAGCCCCTTCCGTGAGAGAGTCAGACAGAGAGAGAGAGAGATCGTGAAAATGTTGAAGTTCCTATCAAGAGTGAGGATCGAGTACAATGCCTTGGACCCGCGAACAGCATCGTGTATGGAGTTTCTGGCACAATGCAACTCACGAAAGGCGAAAGAATCAAACCCTGCGTGTGAAGTGGAGGTGAAGCGTGGAATCGTCGACCACCCGCCGCAGATAACGGTGACATTCGTGAATGGGGTTGAAGAAATGTTCGATGCAACATTGACACCTGCCCAGAACATAAGGAACATGATTCTCGAAAAGGGTCAGCTCCTCGAGACCGAACAGATGTTCCGAGAAGCAGGGGAACCCTGGCCTGTTATCATCCCCGAGGAGGAGCTGTCTCAGCCTGCACCCGGTACCAAAGTGCGTTTTCTTTTTCCTTTTTCCTTTCTTTATTTTTATCTATTTCGTTGTTTTTAATTATACATCTTGAATTACCTTTATTGCCATGAAGGCATCATTACATTGAAGGAATCAAATTTGAATAGCAGATATGGCATTTAATCTTACTAAGCATGATATCTGCATTCCTAGGAGCAGCAAGTATGATGATTTTCATTTTTCCCAGTCAGTGATACATTGTGTACTTTGAAAGCATTTCATGTCTATGTTTTTGTATCAGATGGAAGGGAAGTGATAATTTTAAGATAGGTTGAGGTTTTCACAATATTGTTCTTTGGGTTCATTGATTTTTCTCTTTTTAGTTTTGGTTATGGGTGAGTGCGTGCGTAATAAGTTGTGGAATCCCGCAAGAAGAAAACCAGCCATATTAACAAAAGTATTTTTTGGTGGACTCCTGAGTTTTCCTATAAGGCAATTAGTGGTATTTTTGTGGGTGATACAATGGACTTAATTGTTATCATGCTATATGATAATTGTTTTGCAGATTCATAAATAGTAATTGGTAGTGATATATCTTTATGTGGTTACTTATGCTTGTACAATTTCAATGTATCTGCATGGTTTTACGATTTCTGTTTCAATAACTAAGTGATATGGTTTCGGGTTTAGTATGGCTTTTATTAACTATCTTCAATAGCACACCTGTTTGTGGAAACTGAATATGGTCTACAACTATAACAGTTTTAACTTTTAATTGATTTTTGTGTGTTTTATGTGCCCCTTCTTTCAGCCAAGGAAAGCAGAAGAGAAGAAGCAGTAGGTAATATTTGTTGAGCGTAGTAACTGCCAACAATTGTTCTGGATTTTGTCACATTTTCTCTTATTTATTTTTGGTAAAGAATATGGCATCTGATCACTGCTGCTGCTGCATGCCTTGTTGTATTTGAGGACTAAATTATTGAGTACATAATTATATTTGATTTGCATAATAATTGATGTCTCTGAATTCCAGAGTTTTGTTTGTGGTTGATAGTTACTAATGTAGCTTTTTCAACTTCAAAATATCTTTGCACAAAGCTATCAAATGATATTTGATTATTGATTCAAAAGTACAACTTACAACTTCAAAATGCCTTTGAAGTTTGGCTTGCAGTATTTTTATATTTCAGAGGGTGATAACTGTTGGCATACAATGCTTGTGTGCATTCTTTGGTAGGGTTTCCTTACTGACCCGATTACAATTTTCCTACAATTCTCGTTTTTGTGTCTGCTACTGCAAAGCAGCTACATGATGATCCTGTGGCGTGAGTGCTATTTAAAATCTAAACTTAAGCACAACTATGACCGAAAGTCCAAAATGGATAAATCTCGGAAATCATTTTTCCTATTCTTTTTAAGTGATAATTTTGCGAAATTTCTCTGCGTACGCCAACTCTGAGGTTGTTTGTGGTTTGAAAATCAATTTAGCTAAAATTGGTTTGGTGGGTATTAATTGGGATAAGTGGACTTTTTGTTCTCTTCTATCTTTTGTATTTCATGTAAACAGTGGTGAATGATGTGTGAATTAAACTTGATGGAGGGAATGAAAAATAGAGGATTTGAACAAATGATTACGTACGGGACTAAATTAATTAAATGATTACGTACGGGACTAAATTAATTTAATGTATATTTTAATGGACTAAAATAGAATTTTATTCAAAATTAGAATGGTGCTTTAATTTTCCTTTGGGCTTATATTACCCTAACTCAGGCTTGATCGTTCAGCATCTTTCATTCATGACGTTTTCCTATTTCGAATTTTAGTTGGAGAGCTTAGGTGATTGAGAGAATTGTGAAGAATTGGGAGGTTTATTGCTGGCACGACGAATAAAATTTTGATAATTTGGGTCTGCGATAGTGGACTAGATTATTCAAATAAAATAAAGTTACAAAAAATGGGTGGTATGTATCTTTAAAGGAGGTTATCATTGCGTGTTATGTGTGGGATGTTTGTGCTTACGAGATTTCTTTATCTGTTTTTTTTTTTTTTGCTAGATACATTTCTTTATCTTTAGTATACTTTGCAATTGATCAATGACAAATTGAAACGCCTCACATTGTGAAGCGTACCGTGCTGGGAAATATTATTAAGTGTGAGCACTTGGCAAGTACAATTTTCCCCTCATGAATCAAAGTTTCTAGCAAATTTAAACATCGCAAGGTAACATAGGCCCACAATTAAGATGCATTGTTTTCCTTGAAGATGGCACGCAGAAACTATGTTTAGGTTTCAGAATTCGAGGAATCTAGTGCGTGTTCTGAGAGTGAGAGGGGATACTGATGAAAATGTCACTGTTTACCAATTTTTTTATTTAAATGTCACGCGAACAGTGTTGTTTTTCAATCTGCCACTGGGGCAAGTTCGCTTCCCGGTGTAGCGAACTCGGTTTGCTGACGTGTCATATTTTTAGTGGATAACAAGTATCAAATTTAAAAAAAAAAATAAAAAAAATGAAGGTTGCCTACATGTAGGCGAACTTGGTTAAAATCAAGTTGATGTCCACTAGAAACGTGACACGTCAGCAAACCGAGTTCGCTACACCTGGAAGCGAACTTGCCCCCGTGTCAGATTGGAAAATAACACTGTTCGCGTGACATTTAGATAAAAAAGTTGGTGATATTTTGATCACTGTTCCGAGCGAGAGGGGTGCTGGTACAAATTGAAATAAATAACTCAGAAATCAAATAAAGACTCTAGTAAAAATAAATGGTACCAAAGAAAACCAGGGGTTCACTGTCTTCCCAAGAAATGACGACACAACCAAGCCCTTACTGTGGCAAAAGCACACTCGCCCTCGTATGATACGATGTTTTATTTGATGGGAACACTGAATCAATGACACAATTCATATGTCGAATCTAACGTTTTTTTGGTGCTGATTTATCGTCACGACAGGGAGAAAAACTTCGATTCATAGAGACACCGAACTTGGTGCTCCTTTATATTAAAAAGAAAAAAAAATTCTTTTTATTCATTTTTTTTATATATCTCTTTAATTTCTAAAAAAAAAAATTCCTTTTAATAAAATGGAGAACGAATTCAATACTTTCGGTGCATTGAAAATTTTCTCCTCAACAGATAGCCCGTGCTTCCGCTTTCTCTTTCAGCCTCATCTATAGCGGTGTCAAGCTTAACATCATGAATGTATTATTTTCTTGCAAATTATATATGCTAGTGTCTTAATTTTTTTATCTAAGTTTCACATTGGGAAATCTGAATCAATGTTTATATGTCCTGGTTTCTAGAATATTTGCAAAATCATTAGAAAGTGAAGAATTTATTTAGTTTTATCTTTATCATGGCTACGTAATATTTTTCTTTCATCGTTGCCTCTTTGTGGAGCTTTGAAAGAGCTTGGTTCCGTTTTCATAACCTAGGTTGTGTTTAGTTGAGTAGGTGCATAGTACTAAGGAGAAAATTAGTGTAGGGGCTTAATGAAAATGAAGTACATTTTATTTTCCATTTTCTGTGTTTTTATGTATACCAACTATTGTAAAGTGATTTCAACCTACTCAACAAACCAAGCACACTCTTAATGCTAATTACTATTAGATCTAATTACCCCCTTTTACCTTTTAGGAAGAAAGCAGAGGATATTCTTGGTCATTTTCTTATGCGTTTCCAATAAGATATAAATTGAAATTTCAAGCAAAATATGAAACTTACACCATTATTCGATGTGCATTTTTACGCCAAGTTTCCCCTGTGGCACTCTCTATAAAGAATGTGACTGGATTTTCTCATGTGCTAATTAACATGATCATGTCATGTAGGACAATCATAACCATACATGAGTGAGTTAATGGTGGTAAGGAAAGAGAGAAAAAAAATATAAGGATAGGAAGTTATACAATCATCACTATTAATTTAATTATTAATGATTAAGATTCTTCCATATGACATGATCATGTTAAATATCTTATCCTACATATTTTAAGCATTCTCACAATAACTGTATCATGCATTCATGCCTGTGTGTAGATCCCCTTTTAGCCATTTAGAAAGAAAAAAGATTAAATCCAACGGTTTTTGTTAGGCATGATTGATATACATTTATGATGATCACTGTGTTTATCTTTGTGGTTACCAGGCAAGGGCAAAGTCTCACAAGAAAGCTGTAAGCTGTAGCTAAGGTTCATAACTAATGAGGTCCGTTGCCGATTAAATTTTGCAATTGTCCGCATGGATAGATTAGGACTTTTTTTCCCATCATCTTGATTAATTAATAGAAAAAATAAGGGATAGGAGTGGAAATAACTATAAAGGTGAGGATAGTGTGAAAGTGTTATCTATATTGAGTACAAAATAACGTCGTTTTGAGGTGGAAATCAAAGTTTTTTTATAATTATAATTTATTTCAGAGTTATAATAATATTTTTCATTATAATTTTTTAATTTTTCAACTAAAAATGACGTCATTTTGAGAATGTTATCTACATTCACCGTAGAAACATTAAAACCTCTAATAAATAGTGTAATGAGTATTCAGTGGTGTGATCCTATAATATTGAAAATATCTTCATCTTATAAATATGGTATATGTTATTCTACTTATTATTTTTTCTGGATACCTTTGTCTACTACCCTTCAACATCGTTAGATCAGAATTCCAATTACATTTTTATTTCTCTCTCCTATTGAGATTCTGATCTAATGGTATTGAAGGATGGTAGGCAAAGTTAGGTAAAAAAAAAGTAGGTAGAATAATATATCCCTATAAATACATAAAAAAAGTGTAATATCTATATGGGGTCATGTGAAAAGAAAAGAAAAAAAAAATATGAGTTTCACATATGTATAATAATATAAGAGATAATTTTACATAATTTTATGTCTTATAACATTAGAGGGCATCGTGCCTTTGGTTTAATTGTGCTTTTTTGTTATCACAATCACGTGATAATATTTATCATCTTTCTTGTTTTCCTTCGTAAGATGTAACAAAACACCCGTTGTTGCTTAACTGCAGAAATTGATTGCTGATATATAAAGACACTTTATCATCTGTCACGAAATTTCACAAGGGACTTTTATTTTATTTTTTACTGGGATTGACCTTTATTTTCTGATAAATAAGTATCTTGGTTTTGAAATTGATTGCTGATATATAAAGACACTTTCATCCAGCATATGCCAGGTTAAGGAATTCTACTTTGACTATGCACTTTGATCATGTCAAATACATACTGGAAACATGTAGCTATAGAAGATCAGAGAGTGGCCAAGGAAATTTATGTGCAAACAGACTGGCCAAGCATTAATATATTAAAAAGATTTACTAAGACAATTTAATATTAGCTATATACATAAACGTAATTTAAAAATAAATAGATAATTATTTATCCTAAATTAGGTTATGCTATATTATAATTTGCATTTGTTGAAATCTAAAATTATTTAGAAGAAAATTTTCCCAAACACGATGTTGTTTTTTATATCATGGGTATTCACATGTGTGTTAATTAGTGTGCACTGTGCACCGTAGCCAAATATTACCGCTCAATAGTTTTTCCTTTTGAAAATTATATGTTAACATAAGAGGTGCTCTTTACCGAGGTATTTATTATCGTATTTAACACAGCTTTTGTCGTTTTAGTCTCATTATTATTTCCATTGCCGCTTCCTGTGTCGTGTTAAGAAAATATCTATGGTACTACTGCTGTACCATTAATTCAGTATATTTATTCAATAAAAAAAGAGGAATAACTGTCATCTTGTATGGAAAGAAGAGAAAAATATTTTTTTTATCCAAGTGTCACTTGTTGAATGTCAGATGTACCTACTACAGATGTACAAAAAATGATCTCTCGTGTTAGAAAGATTCAAAGAAAAAGTTGAAGAAAAGAAAATAATCGTAATTAAGTTGGTGCATGAGAACTAAATAGATGGGATAAGAGAATGTGTTTGATTCTTTTCAATATCATTTTAGAAGAAATTTAAAATTTTAATCCTAAATCTGTCCCAAATTGAATTTATTGTAAAATAATAAATCGATTGAAATATTTAAAAAAAAAATTAAAAAAAGAATAAAGGAGAAAACCATACTAAATAACTAAATATATTAATTTTACAAACATCTAAGTAATTATATATATATAAGGTAATAATTTTCTCCATTGAGAAGATTTCTTTTCTGCATATGCATTGAGTTGTGTATCAAATTTGTTTTTATTTTTTATTTTTATTTTAAACAATGGTCCGGAAGACTGACCAAAGTGCCACGTTTGGACAAAAAATTTACCAGACTGCCACGCCAACAGTAAATTTTGCCAAAATGTCACGGCATAATTCGCTACACAGTGTAGCGAATTATGTATGCAAGTAATTCGCTACACAGTGTAGCGAAATATGCCACGTCAGAGCAAAAAATGCCACATGTCAAATTTTGCAAAATTCGCTACCCTATGTCACATGTCAGAACGCCCAGAACCAAAAATGCCACGTGTCAAAATTTGCAAATTTCGCTACATAGGGTAGCGAATTTTGCAAAATTTGACATGTGGCATTTTTTGCTCTGACGTGGCATATTTCGCTACACTGTGTAGCGAATTATGCTGCGTGGTATTTTGACAAAATTTACTGTTGGCGTGGCAGTCTGGTAATTTTTTTGTCCAAACGTGACAAAATGGTCACTCTCCCCAATGGTCCCACCATTTTATTTAAGTAGAAGATAAGTTTTTAATTCATGTAAAACAAGAAAAGTTTTCCCCATATATATTGGTAATCTAATTAAGTATATATTATTTTCACGTGTCTTGGAAACTCAGGATATAGAATATTTAAATAATAATCCATACATACCACGACAAACGATGGTTTTACCGTCTCTAAAATGAATATAAATAAATTATTTATATTTACTTTTAAAATAATATTATTTTAGTTAAAAAATTATAATCATAAGAATTATTATAACATAAAAACAAATTATAATTAATATCTTAATTTTCGCACCAAAATAATATCATTTTTGTTTCAATATAAATATTTTATATGAAAAATGTTTATCCTTTTAAATAACACAACTTATATTATTTCACTCTCACAAAAATGTGAGACCCACATCTTTATATTTTTTTGTCCACTCTCTTCTCTTTTATCTATTTTTTCTCTCACATAAAATAACACAACTTTACATCTTTAAAATTATACACACGTTTCACATATTTTATTCAAGAGTTTTATTAATCTCATGTTAAATGAGATAGTTATCTCATGTCATAGAGATAAGTTTGTGGGCTCCACCACCTGAAAAAATAAGATAAAAGAAAAGAAAAAAGTGACACAGTTATCGAAAGGTGTGTAGAAAAAAAAATGTATCTTATGTAACATAAGAATAATTTTTCCCTTTATTCAAAGTCATGTTCGATTGATTCAATACTCTTAAAACTTAAAAATAAAAAATCATCAAAAATTAAAAAATTAGTCATGAAGTGATTGACTAGTGTAAATCAATCATGGTTTACAGAGATAAATCGGCGGTTTTATTTAAATAACTTCTAACGAAGTTCCAAAACTTATGAAACGTAATTTTGTGCAGATTTATTAATTTCTCTAGGAAGGCAGAGAGACACTGCGGTTTTTCTGGATGCGTTCAGGCGTTCACTGTATTGAAGCAGTGACATGACAGCAAAGAGGAATAAAAGCTCCCAAGGAACGCAACAAGCGCAACCGACAATGTTACACTTCTTCGTGCAGTGTTTGAAACTCTACTTCACTCTAAATCAATCTTGTGTTGTTCTTAATTAAGGTCACGTTTTGCTATCACTCTCATTGATTCCTTCTCTCCCTCTGTGAGGACAAGACAAGAGTTGGAGCAAGATGGGTTCTGTTTCTCTGAAAATAGGGGATGGAACAGCCAGATTCAAAAGAGCAACTCTGTGTTCTTCAGCAGTTAACATTCTCATGATATGCTCCATTATCACCACCAATCTTTTCGCTCTTTATGCTTTCACTGCTTCCCCTAAAGACCATCACACCCAGCTACTTCACAATGCCCAAAAGAACTTCTCTCTCATCTCAGAGCAGGTCTCGCTTATACTGAGAGAGATTGATTTATCTCAGAAGAAATTGGCCCAGATAGAAAAAAAGCTTCTTGGCTATGAAAGCATTGATCTTTCCAGACCCAATATTGCTAATGAACTCAAACTCTTTCTCCAACGCCACCAGCTCCCTCTGGGCAAAGATTCCAAAACTGGAATCACTGAAATGGTGGCATCTGTTGGCCATTCCTGTGAGAAATCTGCTGACTTGTTGTCTCAGTACATGAATTACAAAGTTTATGGACCCTGCCAAGATGATTGGATTGTAGCACAGAAACTGATCTTGCGAGGTTGTGAGCCTTTGCCAAGAAGGAGGTGTTTTGCTAAGTCTATTTCTAAGGTAGGCCTTAACCCTTTTCCCACCTCACTTTGGAAACCTGTTGCAAATAAGACTGTTAATTGGAGTGGTCTCAGTTGTAAGAATTTTGAATGTTTGAATGGCAAGAAGTTTTTAACAAGAGATTGCATTGGTTGCTTTGATTTGGTTAATGGGTACGATAATCAGAGGTTTATCAAGTCTAGGAGCAAGAATGATTTTCTCATTGATGATGTGTTAGCCTTGGGAAGTGGTGGAATTAGAATAGGGCTTGATGTTGGAGGTGGTTCTGGTGGATCCTTTGCTGCTATAATGGCTGATAGGAATGTCACAGTGATTTCCAACACTCTGAATATCGATGCCCCATTCAGTGAATTCATTGCTGCAAGAGGGCTTTTTCCTCTTTTCTTAAGCTTAGATCATAGGTTCCCATTCTATGACAATGTGTTTGATTTGGTTCATGCTGCAAGTGCCTTGGATGTTGGAGGGAAGCCAGAGAAGTTGGAGTTTTTAATGTTTGACATTGATCGCATTTTGAGGGCTGGTGGTTTGTTTTGGCTTGATAACTTCTATTGTGCCGATGAAGAGAAGAAAAAGGCATTGACTCGGTTGATTGAACGGTTTGGATATAAAAAGTTGAAATGGGTTGTGGGAGAAAAGACAAATAGTCTTGAATCAGGCAAATCTGAAGTTGTCTTATCTGCTGTCCTTCAGAAGCCTGTAAGGGTTTAAAGCTTCATACAACAAAGGGCAAGCCAAAAGGTAAGAATGCAATTGCTTCTGCTTGCTCTCTCTTCTTCACACAATTTGAATGAACGAATTGCTTCTAACATCATCAGATCCCATCAATAGTGTGGAATAAGTGCATAAATGGCTATATTTTAAGTAATGTTTTATATTTTATTCGAATGCTAGTAATTTTGTAGTTGATAACTTTTAAGAATTGCATTTTTTAAGTTATAAACTTAAGTCTTTAGATTTTAATTTTATAATTAGAATTTTCCTTTTATTGATTGCCATAGACTCCTCATTCATAAGCTGAATAAGTTGTGCAGCCTATATGCATGTCCTATTTTAATTTCTCATGCTATTAAACATATTAATACTGAGGCCTTCATCTGATAAATATTTTTGTCAAAATCCTTGAGTTACATAATTGCTGAAAGACATGGGCAATCCTGATTTTTGCTATATACTTTCTAGTAGGATTTTGATTTTCCATGAAATTGCTCTGTCTGTCTCTTTCACTTCATTGTTCTGCTCAAGTCCCGTCTGCTCCATCCAGAATATGTAGTCTATTCAAGGGTTGAACGTCCATGGCAGATGCTAGATCGCATGGGAAGTTGGAATGCATTATCCGATGTGTTGGTGAATTACTAAAATAATGATCAATTGTGAAGTAGGGTAAGTCAACGTCATTATGAAGTGCAGCTGAGAAAACTGACTTAAAAAGTTTATTTGACCATGTCTTTTGTGAAAACAGATTTTATGATGGTAGGTAGGTACTATTACCTTTTTTTTCTTCCCTTTTAATTAATAGCCCCGTCATTTTGCTTCGTTACTCTATTGATCCTAATAACTGGTCCAGAGTTCATGTTGGAGCTGGAAACGTTGATGAGTGAGTCCCCTTATATACACTTTTTTTTTTTTTCATACTTCTTTTTGTAGTTTTACATTATCTTTTTTTTTTTTTTTTTTTTTATATTATACAAATGAGAATTGAAAACACAATCTAAATACCTCGTCATGTTACACTTTGTATGACATTATCTTTGGATATGTACAGTCACGTCGATATTTGCACAAACTGACGTGTAATTTAATTGCAGATATTTATAGTTGCAGCTTGGGTCGTAATCATAATTTGTGGCTCTAATTTTTTTTTGTTTTTTTGGTATTACATTTTTTAAACTAATATAATTAAATACGCTATGCGTTAAGGAGTTGACTCAATTTTCCTTGACTCGATTTGGTAGGAAGAAACAGTATCAACAAAAGCTATTGGGATCATTTAAAAAAAAAAAAAAAGAAGCTATTGGGATCGATTCTTTCTAGTATTATATTCAAAACCTTTAAATAAATATTTAAGTCAGACTAAGAAATAAGCTAATTTTCTGCCAGCAACAATGTCATATATTGAAGTATGTGACCCTTGATTCATGGGAATATCTTATAACCTTCGATTTGTCATAATCTCAAAATTCTTACTTCTCTTAAAAAATTTATAATTATTGTGGATGGTAACTATTTATAAAAAAAATTATAAGGGGCTCGATTGATTAGTGTAGGTAATAATATAAGTCTAATATTTGGATTTAGATATATGTAATATTGATTAGTGTGGGTAATAATATAAATTTTATCTATAGACCCATAATGGAAATGAGACTATAGTTAATAAGTTTGGTTAAAGTATTTTTATATTTAAAACAGTTACTTAACAATTTGTCTCATCAATAGTTGTAAACAGGAAACATGTGAACTGCAGAGAAAAATTCTAATATTTTAAACCTTGTAAAAATATTGAGCAAACACGACAATTTATTGAGATACCAAAAACAAAGTGTTTAACAAATAAGTTTAGAATTTCATGTAATTCTAATTTTATTTTTTCTCATATGTTCGAGGTTTTTGGTCAATATCTAATCGTACTATAGTCTTTATCAGGGTAAGCCCATGATTAAAGCAAAGCCAGCTATTAATAGGTGTACTAAAAATTTTGCGAAACATTCTCGTACACAGGCCTTGGGTTGACCCGAGGTAGCTCTAAGCATTCTTTTGCCCAAAAATCTGTTTTGTTTTTGTGAAAGTTAATACCGTCTAAGCAGAGCTAATTTACAAGGATAAATCCATAAATGAAGCAAAGCCCAATATCCTCATTTCCATCATGGCTGTGGGTCAAGTTGGACCTAAGGTCCACCATTGCCAGCTCGGGCCCTTATCAAATTTTAAATATGCATGCGAAAAATATTTTTGGAGACAGAATGAGTTCCTAATCTAGGCCAGTCAATGAGTCAAGGCTAAATTGGGCCTGTAGTGTGGGGTATCCGTTAGTATATTAACGCTAAGTGCTATTCAGTTTGGAGGATACATAGCCCTCACAAGCCCAAAGAGTTTCAGGAATAATCTCAAATCCATTTTTTGTATCGCTTTTATCATCAGCTTCAGTTGTGGGGCTGGGGCATCTATCAAAAGCACCCCATTCGGAGAATGCTAAAAAGTACTATTAATATATAAAATATGTATATGCATATGAATGATTAGCCTAGCAAAAGAGAGGACTAGGGATTTGGGGTTTGGTAAAACATTATTCTCGATTGCATCCAACCCCATGTGAAGCCTTCTTGTTTAATATCACAAATAACAAAAGTCTCCCGTAGAACCCGGGTATGCGAACATGACTAGAAGTCTACTACCACAAAGGACATCAACCTGCCAATCATGGCCCCCTCCGTTATGTCTGCCCCTGCTCATGATACCTTTAATTTGGAAAAGGATCTTCTCATGTGTAATTTAATATGATCATGTCATGTGGGACATGTGGGACAATTATAATCATTAATAATTAAATCAACAGAGATGATTGTGTAACTTTCTATCTTCATTTTTTTTTCTCTCCTCCCTTATCACCATTAACCCACCCATATATGGTTATGATTGCCCCACATGACATAGTCATGTTAATTAACACATGAGAGGATTCACTCCCCTTTATTTGTATCTTAGTTTAAGCTAAAATTTACTTTAATTTTTTTTTTATATAACATTTTTTTAATTATTTTAAAATAAAAAGTAGAAGCGTGTATAATTCTGTTTGTATCCATGTAAAAGCCAGTTTAAGAAATATGTGTGCTTTTTTTAATCATTGTAATCTACCCAAATGATTATATAACTAAGTACAATTTTTATGTGGTCATACGCTGTTTATTTTCCAGATTAGGGCTCTGAAAAGCTGTTAGAGACCGACGAAGCTTTTGTTTTGGGTTCGGTGTGTAACTAATTAATTTTAAAGGTGTAAATAGACTGGGTTAGAGTAAACTTTAACTTAAATAGGCTAAACCTATATAAATAACATTGTGTTTATCCTAGCCTTCTAGCTTGTGTAGACCACATATTACAATTTTATTTGGCCTATATTTAAAAAATAAAAGTCTTGGTCTGTTAGCCTGTTTAAGCCTATTAAACATTCAATAATTAAAAGAATAACTAAAATAATATTATTTTATTATTCAAAATTATTAAAATAATAATTTTATTTATTTTATTTAAAATAAATAATATGATATAGGCCGGCTTGTAGGCTTATAGGCTCTATATGTACAAAAAAATCTATGGCCTATTTTCTAAATAAATATTTTTAAAAGTCTAGGCCAGTTCTTTTTTACTATTTGTAATAGGTCAAATCTGATTTAATATAGACTAGGTCATTGGCTCTTGTAGGCCGGCCTAACTCATTTACACCCCTAATTAAATTGAACTAAAATTTTATTTTTTTCCCTTAAAAATTAAGGAGCAAAGCAATCATGTAATGTCTACCAAAAGAGTCCCACTAATTTAGCAACATTATTTACAACAGTGTATGATTGCGTTAGGCCGAAGCGTGCATTGACATCATCTCGAGAAAAAGCCCACATTAACTCGTGCGGTGGAGTCGATGCTTGTAAAGGATTAATAAACAGTAATGTCTGTCCCTTTGTTTAATTGTTATTTAAAGGTTTAATATTTCTTATGTTATAAAATAAAATTATTTTTTAAATATATATAAAAATACGTGAGATTTATATATATTTTTCATATGAACTTTATATATTTTTAGAGTTTTATAAGAGTTATGTTGTAGGAAAAGTAATTGTGTAATGTTATAGAGATTCGTTTTGCGTGCTTTAATTTTTATTTTATTTTGTTTTAAAAAGTGCAGGCCTTACAAAATATTGTAAGTAGAAAAAAAATTTGTGTCATGTTAAAAAATAAACTAAAACCCCATATTTTTATGTGTATGTAAAAAATAATTTTATTTTCTATGATAAAACAAACATTAAAACCTTTATTTGAATAGTGGATTCTCTGCTGTAAGAAACTGTCGCATATTTCTTCGCGTGGTGCTGTGGTAGAACAAAACTTTAGTGAACCGGCTCCCTTTTTTCAAATGTGGAACAAAAATTTCTACTCTACTTCTTTCTTTTATTTATATCCCAATTTTTTTTCATATTTGAAAAAAAGAAAATCCCCGGATGCACTAAAATTTTGTTCGTTGTGGTAAGGTCGTGCTTACCAACGCATCTCTTTTATTGGCTACCTCATTTAAAGGTAATAGAAGTTTAAATTTTAAGGGGTTTCATTTGATGAATAGGATAGGATAAAGGTAAGGATGTGCAAAATAACAAAAAAACTGAACCGAATCATGAATCGAATCGAATCAAATCGCTCCTTAAAATAACCGGTTTTTAAAAACCAATTCATGAACCGAACCGGTTTTTAAAGAACCAGTTCATGAACCGAATCAGTTTTTAAAGAACCAGTTCATGAACCGAACCGGTTTAAGAACCGAATCGATTTTTAGAACCGGTTTAAGAATCGAATCGTTTCCGAATCGAACCGATTTCAAACCGAACAAAATTGATTTTTATAACTTTATTTTTTAAATTTTAAATTTTTTTTCTTTTCAAAAAAGGGTCGACCCGAACCGGTTCCGAACTGAACCACTTTCGAACCAAACCATTTAAGCAAATTCGGTTCGATTTTT